ACAATGGCCGTCCTGGATAACCAGTATCATGAAGCGGCTTATGGACTGGCTCTGTTAACTCTGGGTTTATTAGCTGAAAGTTAAAAAGGTGTCCATCTCTCTTGTCTGCACACGTGTGCACTGTGTTGGTACTAATAAAGTCTCACAGTGCAGAGCAGCATGATCCTCTCTGTAGCTGTTACTTTAACAAACACCTACACATGAATAATTATAGGTTACTGTATGTCCAGCTCAGAGGCACAGGATCCTTTCTACTGGCACAATGCTCTCTGCATTTATATTCATTGATTCTGATTGTGAATTCGTTATTGAATAACCCAGAATATGATCACGGCGTCTTTGGATTCATTAGACTAAAGGTTGAAATGATGTAACTCATATTTAAGACTACTTTAGCTCCGTTTTAGGCTTTCTGTTTATTTCCTCTTCTGATATCCTTTAACACTACTCCATACATTTTATTTGCTAGTAAAATCACTTGTCACCGATCGATCACTGCGTTCCATCATATCAATCCAACAATTTTTTCCCCCCAATTTCTTTCACCAGCAGATTTTATCATTCAGTTGGATGTGCAGGCTTTTTTTTCCATTTCCTTGCTTAGTAGAAACTTTAGTGCAGTTTAGTGACTTGTCCGACTCGTTAGGCTACGTGTTTACTATGTTTTATTATCATCCATTTGGTTTAAACACGGAATGATCAGCCGCACCTGTGACTGAACAGAAATGACAATAACAAATTAGAAACTTGAGAAACACCCAATTACAAATAAATCTTTTGAATTGACTGGTGCAGACATTTGTCCAGGAGGTGGCAGCATTGTACTGTGAGGCACTACTCTGACTCATTCTTCTAGTAAATGTGCATTTAGCACAGGCAGAGCTCATACACCAGAGGGCTGTTAGAGAGTCTGACCCAGAGAAACAGAGAAGACATTTAATGCTAGAGAATAATTGTGGAGTCCAACAGAAAAGCCTTTCTCAGCCTTGAACCACAGTGGAAACTCCTTTCTCACAGGAAAGCATGAAACAAAACAATCTCACAGAAGGTCATTATATCAAAACACTGGTACACTTAGTGGAAATTATAACATCACATAAGATGAGCAGAGAACATAAAGTAATGACATATAGAGGATTAAAAGTACAGACAGGTAAATCTATTCGTTTCTATTATACATGGTCACATTAAGTTTATAAATGTCAGTTCATCAATGAATGATCTTACTGTTTAAGCAGACAATCATTAGTAGACAAAATAAATGAGCTTCAGCTGTAGAACAGAGATATTCTTGAGTAGTGAGCAAGCTAAGAGATCAAAACATATTTAATTTAAGCAGTTTGGTCAAAATCATCAATGTTGTCAGAGGTGGATTCAATCAGGTGAATCGTTTGACATGTTTCTCAGGAAGGAGGCAGAACAGGAAGTGACTTGTCATGTCCCTCAGACTGATATATTTATAAAGACGAGGAAAACAAGAAAACAACACACAAGCAACATGACAGCGACATACAGCCGCTGTAAAGGCTTTTAAAAAAAAAATCGCCACATCTGTTTGTTCCTTCTTTCTTTCTCTCCAGCAGCTGTTACGACCCGGCTCGTTAAGGAGGTGCGACAACTAACTAATTAACCAAGGACAGCGCTTGCAGAAAGAAATACAACAGAAAGAGGCTATACAGGTGCTGACAAACATCCAATACACAAAATGAAACAAAAGAGGGTCTTGTCCAAAGACAGTCCTTAGTACAGTACTCAAAATACACAAAAAACGGAAAGGTCAGCTTACAAACCTTACAAATTACAAAGGAAGAAAACAATCTAGCTGTTATTCTGCAAATTTAGAGGTCTCAAACTAAAGCGTGTCCTACTCTTGGTACACTAAATCAAACTAGGCGATTTACAAAGGTTCCAAAAGCCACTCAGACAGGCAACAGAAATACAAACTCTCTAAATACTCTCTAAACTAACACAATGGTTATGCAGCGAGGCGAACTAATGACTGGTTCACAGCCGCCCTGAACTGTGAACATGGGGTGGTGATGGTGCAGTGGATAAGGCTCATGCCTTTGGTGTGCGAGACCCAGGTTTGATCCCCCACTGTGACCCATCCACCATTGTGTCCCTGAGCAAGACACTTAACCCCTAGTTGCTCCAGAGGCGTGCGACCTCTGACATGTACAGCAATTCTAAGTCGCTTTGGACAAAAAAGCATCAGATAAATGTAAATGTATCAGTTTTAGAACAAAACCAAAGACTTATAAGCTATGTTATATAGTAAACATGTTTAATCGGTTATTAAATAAGTTACAAGTTGCCTGTAAGTTGTAGCAACCTGTCAATCACAAGGTAGTCCCGCCCAAAAGCATACGCTGCTTTATGTCAATTTTCCTCCGAATAGGACCAACATTTACTAAATGAACATCATGCTGGGTTGAAGAAGACTTGAACTAGTGACTGAGACCATAAACTCATCAGGAAAGTTTTTACTGAGGAGTTTTCACCATTATATCTAATGGAACCGGACTTCTTTTTGAAACCAGCGGACTCGCCCCCTGCTGGCCGTAATATAGAACGCAGCTTTAAGTTCCGTCTGCATGGTTTCACTTTCAGACCCAGAGGTTGCCGCATGATTGAGATTAGAGAAATAACATTTGACAACAACGTAACTAGAACTCTGGATTGGACAACAGTGTGCGCTATGAGCTGCAAAACAACTGCAGGATGTTGAGTTTTTAATTATATATTTTATACTAATGTTTTTGCGTCGAGTTGCTAGTTCAACTGTCCTGATGTTACTTTTTACAGGCCCCAGGCCATCGGGCCACCGTTATTGTCAAGCCCTGACACAGAAACAATACTTCATCAAGTGTTGAGATTCATTCTTGAATAGATGTGCTCCAATCAGGATTTTTTGGGCCGATCACTAATCACTGGGTCTATTTGAAGCCTTTGATTTATCATGTAGCATTATACAATATATTTATTTAAATGGTCCTAAAAACAATGTATTAAGTATTAAAAATAACATGACAAAAAAATCATGAAATGACAATTGTTTGTTTTATTGGCAGGAAACATGGGCAACAAATTCCACTCCCTCCTTAAACCACAGCAGCCTTTGCCTGCTTACTGCCAACATCTTATAGCTTAACAAATACAGCTTTCCTGTGGAATAAACTACAAAAACAGAACAAACAGCATCTTTATAAATTTACTTCAACTATAAAAACTGCAACAAACTACAAACTGTAGCCAAAATATTTAGGAGATAAAGGAGCTCAGGCCTCCTGAGTCGATGATAAAGTAGCTGGTTTTTGTTCTGGAAAACTCAGTTAGGCTCTGTGGGCTTTAGGGGGGAGAGAGGAGCAGAGAGAGGGAGAGGGGGCTACAGAGGAGGCATAACGTCGTCAATGAGATTTGAAAGTAACGGAAATTTAAATAAAGTACAATGTTAATTCCATATTATACTGTTAGTATATTGTTAATATTAGCCCACTTATAGTTACTATATTCATTATAATTTCATATGGTTTACCACTAGTATAGGCCTAATATTATTTCAGTGGGTTATTAAATCTATAAATCAAATTGATGTAATCAGATTATTAAATCCTTGTGCAAGAAGCACAGTCTACATCTTTTACAGGCCTATTGCCACCTGCTTTACCAGAGGAGAGAGCAGCAAACACTTTCAATACGGCCAGCAGGTTTTTATTAGATTTTTTTATTAGTAGAGAGAGGAGTGGGTTAATGTTAGGCTACATCCACTCTACTATGTTTTTTTAAACCGTTTTATAGCGAATAAGATCTTCTCCCTCCACAGCAGCGTTTTAGCTGCGTATCAGAGTTGATCTCCATTTATATTAAAACGACTGAAAGCACGCGTGGTCGTTCACTGGGCATGCACAGGCCGGGGTGTAAACATGAAGCAGATGGTCTACTCTGCCGCTGCAGAAAATTTGGCGAAAGAAGAAAGTAATACAGTCGAAAACCACACAGGTATTCGTTTTTGCATTGACCGCCAACGAAATAGAACTGAAAGTAACAAGAGTAGCCTACAAAGTGAGAAAGCAAAGTAAATACGGCAACACGCACAGTACAAGTGTTATTTAAACAGTAGAAAATATCTAAATAAAAATACAAAAAATAAAACTCTGTAGCATCGTGTTTTGCATGACTGATAAGACTGAATCAGTTTTACCCATCAATTCGCCATTTTCATCTGGACGGAGGGGGAAACGTAGCAAAAGGTCTCGAAAACGGAGACAGAGAGAGGCAGTCAGCTGATTGAGTGGCGCCTCTCTTTTCATCATGAAACTCACACTGAAGGATCAGTCTCTCTCTGCCTGATGCTCTGTGGGTCAAGACAATTAAACTCTGGTAGCGGGCGGCATGTGTGTGAGATAAGCACGACCGCGATAGTTTGAAATGGTCACTCCTGCTTGTTGCTCTGCTTGTCTGATTGTTGCTAAACTCTTTATAAATGATTAACTGGATGCTTCAATAGCTCCCTATCTGAAAAGGAGTTTTAGGGAACCATTTTAGCTGCCGTTGAAAATTTGTCCGGAAAGTATTGCATCATCTGATCGACTTTTGTGATCTGCCTTTTTAGAGACCACTGATCTGAACTAGTTAAAGCCATTATCGGCAGATTACGATCGGTGACCGATCGATCGGAGCACACTTATTATTACTACATCTGTGATAAATGAGTGAAAATCACATACTACCTCTTTGTTGGAGCTTTTGACCACATCCCATGGCCTTCTTAAAGAGTCACTAAACCCCCAAAGCTCTTATTTCAGCTGATTACCAATCTGCATGAGTATTTAGTAGTGTTGTTGATGGATTCAGGTCCAAATCTTGACATTTTCTGTAAACTATGTGAATTCTACTTACAGTACCATAAAAATTGAAACCTGGCTATGCAATTTAATTTTGTTGTTGGCTGATAAAACCTCTGGACTACTGCTTTCCAGCTCTTTCCAAATCAAACTTCCTCAGCTGTCATCACATGACGTTAGTCCAGCACAGTCGCATGATAACAGGTGGTTGTATTCAGGGCAGAAGGAAACAGCTAGCTCGGCTCTGTGAAAACTGTCACACTGACGCTTTGTGAATGGATTTGTGTCTTGTAAGGTTCTCCTGTTGGTATAAGATTTGCCACATTGGCCACAACAGTACGGTTTCTCTCCAGTGTGAACTCGTTGGTGGGTTTTTAGGTGAGCTGATTGAGTGAAAGTTTTCCCACATTGTTCACACCAGTACGGTTTCTCTCCAGTGTGAACACGTTGGTGGGTTTTTAGGCTACTTGATTGAGCGAAAGTTTTCCCACACTGTTCACAGCTGTGCAGTTTCTCTCCAGTGTGAACACGTTGGTGGATTTTTAGGCTACTTGATTGAGCGAAAGTTTTCCCACACTGTTCACACCAGTACGGTTTCTCTCCAGTGTGAACACGTTGGTGGATTTTTAGTTGATCTGATGTAATGAAAGTTTTCCCACACTGTTCACAGCTGTACGGTTTCTCTCCAGTGTGAACACGTTGGTGGATTTTTAGTTGATCTGATGTAATGAAAGTTTTCCCACACTGTTCACAGCTGTACGGTTTCTCTCCAGTGTGAACACGTTGGTGGATTTTTAGTTGTCCTGATGTAGTGAAACTTTTCCCACACTGCTCACAGCTATATGGTTTCTCTCCAGCGTGAACACGTTGATGCATTTTTAGTTGTCCTGATGTAGTGAAAGTTTTCCCACACTGGTCACAACTGTACGGTTTCTCTCCAGTGTGAACACGTTGGTGGATTTTTAGGTAACCTGGTGCAGCGAAAGTCTTCCCACACTGTTCACACCAGTACGGTTTCTCTCCAGTGTGAACACGTCGGTGGATTTTTAGGTGACCTGACACAGCGAAAGTTTTCCCACACTGCTCACAGCTGTAAGGTTTCTCTCCAGTGTGAACACGTTGGTGGATTTTTAGGTGACCTGGTGTAGCGAATGTTTTCCCACACTGTTCACACCAGTACGGTTTCTCTCCAGTGTGAACACGTCGGTGGATTTTTAGGTGACCTGACACAGCGAAAGTTTTCCCACACTGCTCACAGCTGTAAGGTTTCTCTCCAGTGTGAACACGTTGGTGGATTTTTAGGTGACCTGGTGTAGCGAATGTTTTCCTACACTGGTCACAGCTGTGCAGTTTCTCTCCAGTGTGAACACGGTGGTGGCTTTTTAGGCTACTTGACAGAGCGAAAGTTTTCCCACACGGTTCACACCAGTACGGTGTCTCGCCAGTGTGAACTCTCAGATGAATCTTCAAATTTCTAGATGTTGTGAAGGATTTGTCACAGTGCTGACAGCGGTGACATTTGAGTCCCTCTCTTCTTCTCCTTCCCTATATCAGCAGAGAGAAACACAGTAAGTGAGATGTAGATGTGGAGCGAGCTTTCAAAAACCATAAATGACATTAGCGCACATAGTGAGCATGTACTGTATTACATACTAGGGCTGGGCGGTATATGGGTATATAATGTATACCGATATCGTTTCAAAAGAAATATGAAATTAGACAATACCGTTTATACCGAGATAGTTTGATGTTGAGGTGATTAATTTGTTTTTGTAAAGTCCTGCAAGCGTTTGCTCCTCTCTCTCCCTCACTGCGCAGCCCTGCCCCTCCTTCTGCGTCTGCACTCAGCAGTCTACTCACAAACTCTCAACAAGATTGATTGAGACAGTGCTGGTCGACACTGTTAAAGACCTGGCTTGTAAAAAAACAAAAAAACAAAAGGAAATAGCATGGTTCAGTCTGTGTTTCGCACACATACACTTCCGCGGGCCGCCCAGGTTAGACGCCATACTGCTGCATTTATCAGAAAAACACGTAGACTACGTCGTCAACACGCCTCCTCAACATGCAGCTGCTGCTGTTTTCTTTTTGGTGACTTTATACAGCCTAACCTACTACTGATGGAGAAAGTCAACGAAGCGGACATACAGGGAGAGAGAGAGACGGTAAAGCACCTTTTCCACTGCAAGGTACCACCTCGACTCGCCTCGACTCTAGTCGCCTTCTTTTGGTTTTCCTTTGTGTAGAAGTTGTACTTGTACCTGCTACCAGGTACTTTTTCCGTATCACCTTCGTCTTATCTGTCTTTAGATTCTGAGTAATGTTGAAACGTTTTAACTGAAATCAAAAGACGGCTGTGTGTGCGTTCCTGGTGTGTGTGTTTCATTTAATATTGCGTTGCGACAGTTGTGTGTTGCATCTCTATGACGACCAGCTAGATTGAGGGGTGCTGGAAAACGGAGGACGTCCAAAACTGCCCCCCCCCCCAGCCCATTTAGCAGAAATACCGATATACATTTTATAACGGAATTCTGCCTAACAGTACTGGGATATAACTTTTTGGCCATATCGCCCAGCCCTATTACATTCTCAGTCATAAACACAGCATGTGTGAACTTTGAATGCCCTGTTCAAAGTTCGAGAAGCAGCAGGGCAGAAGGCACGATCACCCATGCTGCTGATCTTAGTTCTGGGGAGTAGGAGGCGGTTTGAGTTTTTTGAGCAGAGGAATCGTGTTGTAGTGAGAGGGGTGAGTAGTTCTTTCAGGTGGGGGGTGGCTCTCCTTCACTCACTGCGCTGAGCAAGTGTAATGTCTGTAGTGGGAACGGCGTTGCCAATAGCAATATAGAATGTTTATCTAAACGCGCGAAATAAACAGCGCTAAAATGGCTGTATTCTCTATAGGGGTAAATTTTACCCGCAGTGCTTATAGGTATAAATGCCCATTTTTTAAATCTGGCTTTATATTGACATTTTTTAACAATAGGGGGTGCTACATAACACACTTTTAGGAGTCAGAGTCTGGGGGACTTGAATATTATATTGAAACAAAGATCCATACAATCAAAAACCGCCGCGGGTAAATTTGACCCGTTGGCAGTTCGAGTGTTAAACAGTTCAGTCTTGATGGTAGATGGAGCTGTGTGTCTCTGTATTGGCCGGAGTAGACTGAAATCCACTCCACGTTTTCCATCCCCGTCAGTGCGTGGTGTTGCCATGGAAACTCCAGCGTTATTAGTCCCAGGAGTGGCAGCGCCCTGATGACGTATTGGAGATGCGACGGGGCGTGCGCCAGACCAGATTGATGGGATGTTGTGATCAGACCAAACTTTCGGCCGCAACTTCTGTGAATGTAACGGGGCTGGCGAAGGAGTCCAAGTTGTTTAATGACAGATATGCACGATGGAGTGGTGTAGTTGTTGAATTTGTTCAGTTGGGTGACGGAATACTTCAACACCATGCCAGTCGTTGAGAGTGGTCTGTTAGCCGTTAGCAATGCCTGTGATGCACAGAAGAGAGCCATCACACACAGTAAGCGAACAGCAGAGACTTCACTAACATCAGCAGTGACTTCAGGTGAAAGTGTCTCGATGGCAGGCAGTGATGAATAGATACGGGATGCTCCAAGCAATGGGCAGAATCCGTACAGAACACATACAATCCACAATGTTTACAAGTGAGCAACGACACTAGTATAACTTACTGGACGTAATACTGGTCAATAAACGTACTGTATACCCCAGTTGCATAGCACGACTGTTGCACAAAGTATTTCGGTCAGAGAAGCGGCGAACAAACGCCAGCGTCCTCTCCAAACAACTCTTCAGGATTTCATCCCGACTTGTTCTACTGAGTTTTCAATCAAACTGATGATATTCTGAACACAACAGCATTCCTTCATACAGCGAGCCCTGCAGCCTCCGTTATTTTAGGGAGAATATCTTAATTAACGGGACAGTTCCTTAGATGTAGCCCATCTGTAGGATACAATTGAATTATCCTAAATGTTTTCACATATTTAGATTGACTATTTTATGTGTCCAAAAAACATGGAGCCCGGGTGAGGGTTAATAAACAGAAAATAAATCCTCAAAGCGCTTTTCGACCAAAAGTACCCGGGACTTTTAAGTCCCCAGATCTCTTTTCAAGGAACTAAAAGGTTCCTTCAGCCCTGTTGTGTGCGTTTCCACCGTGGTCTAAAGACCTGCGAAGAGTAGACAAATTAACCAGCTGACGTAGGCTGTAGGCTGTATGTCATACAAAGTGATGCACAGGCATCATTATTTGTAACCACTATACATGAGCAACATTTATAAATGAACATCAGATTTGACTGGAATATAATGAAAAACTACAGGCTGTGTTTGACCATTAAAGCAGCTTTTTGTGTGTGGGAGTATAATGACAAGACACGATAAAGTTTGTTACACATTTAATAAAGCCAAGTTCTTAAAATAACTCCAGCACAGAGAAAGCAACACAAAAATAAAATCGCGGCAGTTTGGAAGGTTATTAAAACATTTCAAGCAAAAAGAGCTGCAGATCAGCTGCAGGACTTTAGATTTATCTTGGAAATTAAATTCTGTCCCGGATTATTCCCCCTCTCCGCTGGCTCATTTTTTTCCTATTACAATGGACCTTATGTGCAGCTGTACCTTCAGAGATTTGAACTACAATAAGAACACCGGGAAGATAATTTACTTAATGCGATGCCAACAGGCCTCCCTGGCTTTGTCGGCCGCCATGATATTAGATTAGCCGTTAACTTTTCTTTGCAGTCATCCTATCCTGACACAATCAATGTGCATTCTTCTGGAGAAATATGGAGCATGCACCGTTGTGAACAAAACCCTTTTTATGCGAATGCGCACTGTTTGTATATACACTGCCCTAAAGGATTATTAGGAACACCAGACTAATACTGTGTTTGACCCCCTTTCGCCTTCAGAACTGCCTTCATTCTACGTGGCATTGATTCAACAAGGTGCTGAAAGCATTCTTTAGAAATGTTGGCCCATATTGATGGATAGCATCTTGCAGTTGATGGAGATTTGTGGGATGCACATCCAGGGCATGAAGCTCCCGTTCCACCGCATCCCAAAGATGCTCTATTGGGTTGAGATCTGGTGACTGTGGGGGCCATTTTAGTACAGTGAACTCATTGTCATGTTCAAGAAACCAATTTGAAATGATTGGAGCTTTGTGACATGGTGCATTATCCTGCTGGAAGTAGCCATCAGAGGATGGGTACATGGTGGCCATAAAGGGATGGACACGGTCAGAAACAATGCTCAGGTAGGCCGTGGCATTTAAACGATGCCCAATTGGCACTAAGGGGCCTAAAGTGTGCCAAGAAAACATCCCCCACACCATTACACCACCACCACCAGCAGCCTGCACAGTGGTAACAAGGCATGATGGATCCATGTTCTCATTCTGTTTACGCCAAATTCTGACTCTACCATCTGAATGTCTCAACAGAAATCGAGACTCATCAGACCAGGCAACATTTTTCCTGTCTTCAACTGTCCAATTTTGGTGAGTTCTTGCAAATTGTAGCCTCTTTTTCCTATTTGTAGTGGAGATGAGTGGCCCATTCTCCTCTGACCTCTAGCATCAACAAGGCATTTTCGCCCACAGGGCCGCCGCATACTGGATGTTTTTCCCTTTTCACGCCATTCTTTGTAAACCCTAGAAATAGTTGGATGTGAAAATCCCAGTAACTGAGCAGATTGTGAAATACTCAGACCGGCACACCTTACACGTTACACAGGCATAACACCTGAGCAGTGCCACAGACTGATGGACTCCATGCCACGCCGCATTGCTGCAGTAATTCAGGCAAAAGGGGCCCCAACTAAGTACTGAGTGCTGTACATGCTCATACTTTTCATGTTCATACGTTTCAGTTGGCCAACATTTCTAAAAATCCTTTTTTGTATTGGTCTTAAGTAATATTCTAATTTTCGGGGAGATACTGAATTTGGGGTTTTCATTAGTTGTCAGTTTTAATCATCACAATTAAATGAAATAAACATTTGAAATATATCAGTCTGTGTGTAACGAATTAATATAATATCCAAGTTTCACTTTTTGAATGGAATTACTGAAATAAATCAACTTTTTGATGATATTATATGACCAGCACCTGTATACACACTCACACACACACACACACACACACACACACGGGTCATTGCATCGGTTAGAGTCTCTGGTGAGCAAAAGGCACCGTGGAGGAAAGTCCCACAGGTCAAACTTCAAAAGATAATGTGTTGAAAAGCTGAGCAGCAGTGGAGGAAAACTA